CTTGCATTAGTCATTTGGAAACTAGTAGCTCACTGAGTTGTGCTGATCTTACAAATGTTGACATGTTTCACTCTACAATATCAAAATCGCATTTGTCAATATCATCACAATGTCAGCCTCTAAGGATTGGGATGCTAATAAGCTCACAGTAGAAGATGCATTTTTTTTCCCCCAAAATTCTTGTTTTTGCTTCAAAGCTTGAGTTTTGTCATTGGCAACACATTTCTGCCAGTTATTTTTCTAGAAGTGACAGGCTAACTTTGTTCTTTTTTTGAGAAAATGTCTGCCAAATATCCAAGTCTGAGTAACCATAGTTCGTCTGTCAATGTTTTTTTTTTTTTTAAGTGGAAATGATGTTCCATTAAGAAAAGTGGCTAATTCCACGTGTGTACCTATGCAGCAATTTTGCATGTTCTTCACATGTACCCCAAAACCTAAAATGCAATAAAATAAATAAATGGGGGAAAAAAAAAAGAAAAGTGGCTAATCTGGCTCATAACTTAATCATATAAGTACTTTTTCTGGAAGTGACCATTCACACTTCTGCATATAGGAGAAGTACTTCATTTGCCTGTGTATTTCCTATTTTGTTACATAGAATATTCAAAAGATGTGTACTCAGGGTCAAGATTTAATAGCATTGGTAATTTTTGCTACCTCAAAGAGAACAACCTAAAGTGAAACCGGCATTTCTTTTTTACTGCACATATGTGATAGTGAAGAATAAGATGACTCTAAAAAAATATGCTGAAGATTTTTAAAAAGAATACAATAGTTTTGTGCCACTGTCTTGATTCATGCTATAAGGCACAAACCGAGCTTTACCCATCAATGCTTATGTGCCATTAGTGCAAATACAAATCAGTACAAAAGGCAAATAATTTCTTAATTTTGTTTTGAAAATAGTTTGGCCTCATGGATTTCTAAAAACATCTTAGGTACTCATGGGTGTTCCATGGGTCGTACTTTGAGAACTGTTGGCTTAAGTGCCTCAAGAGCCTTTCTAAGTGAATCAGAGGGCAAGGAGGGAAACATCATTGGTGGCTGAGGGAGAGGAGGGGAGGACTGGACTTCACAGCCTTCATGACAAAAATGACCTAATTGAATACTATCATTGTAAAAATGAAGAAATGGAGGCATAGAGGGGTTTGCTCCACGTCATCCAGCTGGACTGTGGCAGAGCCTGGGTTAGCTCTTAGGTCTCCTCCTGACACAGAGTCTGTGAGCCTCTGTCAAGTTAGGTCTGTCACCTAAATTCCTAAATTATCTTACAGCTATTTATTGAGTGCCTGTTGTGTGCCAGGCACAGGGGTAGGTAGTCAGGATATTAAATCAAATAATATATTCCCAGTCCTTCAGCCTGGTACTCTAGGAAGCATGCAGATGGGCAAATGAATTCCACACACAGTTAGCATGAAGACAGGTGATACAGAGAGCCACGGGGGCTCAGAGCAGGGACGCCCGGATCGGCAAGTGGCTGAGAATGTCCAGAATCGGGATTCTGACACTGAGTTGGAAAGGAAGGATCAAGTTGGCCAGATCAGGGAAAGTGAGAGCTTTTCCAGTGGAGGAGAGCCTGTGGGAAGGGAGGGAAGAGAGGGGCTTGAGTATCTGGTGGAATGGATGTATGGGAGAAACGGCTGGATGCGAGGAGGGGGTGAAGGGCTGGGTCACAGAGGCTGGATATGTCCACCTAAGAAGTCTGGGTTTTATTAAGAAAGCTGTGGGGAGCCAGACAGGCCAGTTGGAGGACAGGCTAGAAAGACAGGCTGGTGCTTTTTCTAAATTCCAGATGGTCGTGACACCAGAGCAAATCTTTTGCTTCTCCGGGCCTCTCTTTCCCCACACACACCTTGAGTCACACAGTGACAGGCAAGTTTGTGATACGAATTCCCCACCTACCATTAAGAGAGCTGTTGAAGAAATGAGTTCCTATGGCTTAAACTGATCCCATTCTCTTGGCCTGAAACTTGCTATTCATTTTTCCTGTGGGCTTTATAGCTCACAGTGGACTCTGAAACACCATTACATCAGTTTAGTAAGGTTGAACCACGTAAGATGTATCATTTGTAACCTGTTGCCTTGCCAGACTGAATCCTAGAAAGTGTTTCTGTGCAGTGGTTTTCAAGCCTGGACAGTCATCTCAGGCAAGTGGTTAAAAAATAAGGATTTTCAGACACTACCTCCTGGGGCTCAGGAATCTGTGTATTTATTTTACTCTGCAAGTTGTTCTGCTATAGGAAGGCTGGCCCTGATTTTCTGCTCTGATATTTTGGGTATCGCTAGTTGGACTAACTAAAGAGGAACACATATTGAATGCCTGACAGTGCCAGTTAGACAGATTCCTCAGTCTCCTGCATATGCATGCATACACGCACCTATGTGGCTGACATTTTTCATGTTACACGACAGGTACTCCTCTTTGTGTGAGCTGGAATCATCCACCTCTTACTTCGTTTCCCACATTTGTTGCATTTCCAACTCTCGACCTCTTCAAAATGCTTCCCGATAGTCATTTCTCCTTCTTTCCCCTCTGCATATGAGAGGCTTTGTCATCTCATTGGAAGATATCAATTGGTTTATTTATTTAAAAAAATTCTTGGTGAACATATTGTTTTACTAAAGCAGATTGAATGACTACATATGTAAGTGTGCACTGGCTCTGTGGGAAATGTTATATGCAGGATCGTGGAGATCAATAAACAAGGCTGAAAATCCCTGTAAAATCATAACAGTCTGGGCACGTCTGGCATCCCAGCGACGTGCAACATATATACAAACCCAAATAAATATTCTATGCTAAAATATGATCAGCTCAGCCCACAGGAAAGAACAGGCTGCCAGATCCAGAGATGGGTGAATGGGTGGTCCCATCAGAGGGCCGGGGAGCGCCACAGAGTTGGTTACGTTTCTGATGGTTCTGGAGGTCACCTAATCCTGTCTGAGGTCTTCAGAACACATTATGACAATGTGTCAAGTTTAAATTGGGGGTCTTGTCCCCGTGCTTCTGTTTTGCTCATAGGCGCAGAAGGAAGGCACATGTTTTCACAGAGACTTGCGGGCCCCTGGGGGCGAGTAAGAGGCAACTCCAACATGGTGGTGAGCACCCCATCATGCAGCAGTGGGGGTGTACAGCACTCCTCGCCCAAGCAGGCCATATGCACAGCTGCCTCTGAAGATGCTTAGAAAGCACTGTATAGGCATGGGCCAAAACAGGACTTCTTACAGGTGAAGGAGAATCCAAGCAACTTCTAGTCCAGGATCCTCAACTGTGCGCACAAGGGTTTGTGGGGCTCTCTGAAAATCCCCCGTGGATGTGTGTGTATCAGACAGGTTAAAAAAGGTTGAGAAACACGACTCTTGCTCATCACCTCCATTATTTTACAGAAAAAGAAATCAAGGCCCAGAGAGGGAAACTGATTTTCCCTCAGAGCTAATTTGTGTAAGGAATAAGCTTGGAACCAACGTCTCCTAAACCCCAGCGCTGGTCCCCTGCCACCCACCACACAGCCCCTTTGTTCTCCTTGTCGCCACAGCCCTCCTTGGATCTGCATGGTGGTTCTCATTTCCCCCAACCTCTTTCCCTTTTGTTATCCTGTTTTATCCTTACCAACACTCTTGGCAGATAGGAAGGGCAGGTAATGATAAATGCCACATTTCACAGACAGGAAGATAAAGTCCAGAAAGATAATAAAGAGTTGGTTAAATTTAGAGACGAATAAGGATCCTCAAACATCAAACATTAGAAGGCTAGGTATCCAGAGGAGGGACCAGCCCAGTCTGCATTTTCCTATCGGATAGAACTAAGGTCACTGAGTCAATTCCCAGCAGCACTGTTCAGGAGTGATGTGGGCTTTGAAGTGCAGAGCCCAGATCCTTCTCTTGTCAGCTGGTGACCATCCCAAGACATTTAACCCCTCTGAGCATCTGCCTTCTCAACAGTACGAGGGGTGATAAGCAATAATTTGTCATCTCTTGGGCCAAAAGCACATGCTCAATACATAGAAGGTATTATGAGGTCCCAGAAGGGGGTTTCAGTTGAACATAAGAAAGAACTTTCCATCGAAGAGAGCAGTCTGTAAGTGAAATGTGCTGCCTTGCAAAGGAATGAGCTTGTTGTCACTGGAGGCATTCAAGAAGAAACTGGAAAACCAGCAGTCAGAAATAGCGTGCAGTAAGAAATTGGACATTTAGAAAATTCCATACCTCTCACAATGCCAAGATTCTATGGTGTGTTCTGGATAAGCTGAGTGCTCTGACCCCCCTCTGCTCTTCAGACATGCTCTCTGCTGCCTGGGAGCCTGTTCCTTCTGTCCAGAAGGCTCTTCTTTGCCTTCCTCTCCTTCAGTCTCAGCCAAATCTCCCTTTCTTAGAGAAGCATTCCCTGACCCACCTCCTTCCCCCATTTGTTGACTCAATTGCCAACTACAGTTTGATGACTCACACAAGGGCCAAGGCAAGGGTGCAAGTCTCAGACTCCCAGACTAAGCCTCTTCTCAGCAGGCTTGGCCAGCGGTTGAAGACTGAAGTCCATCAATAACTCCCAGAACATAGCCAACTACATTACAAAACAGTGAGAAACTCAAGCAGTTGCTCTACCATTCAGAGAACAAGACTCTCTGGCATGTGAGTTCCAGTTTACGACCGTATATTAAGTTCTGGACATGTGCTCAGTACAGTGTCACTGCTGTGAGTTCAAAGATAAAAATAAGTCACAATGCTCATCCTCAAGGAGCCCAGTCTAGTGGGTAAGACCAACAATCTTTATGTAAGGGGGAGAAATGCATAGCCTATCCTGGGTACTTGAGAAGGGATGTCTGGGTTCAAACTGAGGTCCAGGGAGAGCTTCTTGGAGGAGTTGATACCCAAATAGTCCAGTGCCTCACATTCCTTATGATCAAGAAGGTCACTGCTATATTATATCTTGCTGGGTCAGTGGATATATTCCTGGGGCAAAGCTCCAGTGATGAGCATTAATTGCACCTTGATTTATCTTCCAGAACTTCTGCAGAGGTACAAGATGCCTTCATGACCTACACGGTGTATGATGACATCATCACCATGAAGCTCATCCAGGAGGTGTGCAGCATTCTGGGTGAGTATGAAAGAACTTGCTTTGCTTTCTTAGAGCTGCCCTAACAAAATCCAGTTGATTCTCATTATTTGCAGTGGTTATAGTCTATCAAGCTGCTGCAATACTGAATTAGTGAATACTGAACCATTACTCCCAGGGGAAATATAGGGTTCATTTCCTGAAAGTCTCTGGTCACAACATTTTTATTAACCAAGCAATGCATAACTTCGTTTCATGTGTGCTTCTGTCAAAAACAATATATTTAATATACATAGTATGAGAACTAAGACAAGAACATAGAGCACAGCCTTGTTCTGGGTTGGCTAAAAGCATTCATGTTTCCTTCCTTCCTTCTTTCCTTCCTTCCTTCCTTCCTTCCTTCCTTCCTTCCTTCCTTCCTTCCCTCCCTCCCTCCCTCCTTCCTTCCTTCCCTCCTTTCTTCCTTTCCTCCTTCCCTCCTTCCCTCCTTCCCTCCTTCCTTCCTTCCTTCCCTCCTTCCCTCCTTCCTTCCTTCCTTCCCTCCTTCCTTTCTTCCTTCCTTCCTTCCCTCCCTCCCTCCTTCCTTCCTTCCTTCCCTCCTTCCTTCCTTCCTCCCTCTCTCCCTTCTGTGTTTTCTGGGCTGCTATAACAAAGTACCAGCAACTAGGTGGCTTCAAACAACAAACATCTATTCTCTCCAAGTTCTGGAGGCCAGAAGTGTAAAGTCAAAGTGTTGGCCAGGTTCACTCCTCTGGAGGCTATAGGGAGAAACTGTCTCTTGCTTCTCTCCCAGGCTAAGGGTTGCTGGCACCCCTTAGCCTGTAGACACATCTCCCCAATCTCTGTCCCCATCTCCACACGGCCTTCTTCCCTGTGTGTTCATGTGACCTTCTCAGGACAGCAGCCATTGGGTTTGGGGCCCACCCGAATCCCTTATGACCTCACCTCATTTTAACTAGCTACATCTGCTCTCTTTTCAAATAAGGTCACATTCTGAGGTTCTGGGTGGACAGGAATTTGGGGACACACTATTCAACCCAGTACACCCTCCCTTTCTTTATTCTTCCTTCTCACCAGCACTGAATACACAATGAGCCGGGCCGGCCTGAGGGGAGGGAGGGGCAGGCAGCCTCCTCAGTCCCAGGTTCCAGGGAGCTGTGCAGGCAGCGGAAGCCCTGCTCTGTACTTCCAAGATCTTTGATGAGGTCCCTCTTTCCATTCCCATTGAACTTCCTTCACCCGCTCCTCACAGGTGTGCTACCTTGGGTCACTGTGAGAGTGTGAGATGACCTTTAGGGATGATCTCAGGCAGACACTGCATCAACCCTCATGCCTGGCACCTGGCACCCAGATACAGCCTTGTTGGAAGTGTCAGGCTAGGCCCAGTCCTGGGGGTGTTCAAGCTGGCTCTTATGCAGCCCGCAGAGGGTCAGGCAGCAGGGGCCGTGGTTTTGAGTTGGTTTCATGGTGCCTCTGAGGGCCTAGCAAATTGGCTTGCCATTCTCAGGAACAATTTGTGAAATGATAATAGGTTCAAGTCAGTGGCAGGTACCACAGTAATCAGCCCAGTGGGCATTCCCGAGAAGACACCAGGGCAGCTAGGTAATGCTAAGCCCGCAGGGACAGGCAGCTTCTTCAGAGTGCAGCAATGATGTTTAAGTATCTGGGTCATGTGAGGCACTGAGCTTATTTCCCTTTTCTTTGAATTTCAGAAACATTCTCTGATGATTAAAAAGATAGGGACAGCTTTACTCACAGGCAACTGGATCTGACAGATGAGAGGGCTTTTCTATGGCTTTCACACAGCGAGGTGACTGACACCTACATCTGTTCTCATGTTCCTGGTCATCTCCTGGATGCAGAACGCCTTCCAGGGATCTGTAGCCAGGAGAGGCCCAAAGTCTCTGCCAAGCTGGGAGGGGGAAGTCATTGAGGCTGCGGAAGCTGGATGTGTGTGGTGCTGAGTCCTCTCTGGTAACAGGTGGTTACCTGCTCCCCCCACCCACTCTGGGCCACCTGCTATTCCATCTCATCAGGCTGCTCTCTTGGAGCTACAGAGCCAAGCAGGGGCCAGAGCTGCCAACGAGGCCTGACAGGTGATGGTGATCAGGGCCAGGAGGAATCTGGAGCCTTAACTAGTTGTTAAAACAACTTCCAACCAGATGTGTGTTAGCCCCTAGTCACTGCCCACTCGCACCTTTTGATAGAACCAATGTTGTGTCTGAGGCTGAAAATCAGGCACAGGGAGTGAAACAGCCATTTGCTCCTTCAGCTCCTGGAACTCAGGCGCCGAAGCAGCAACACCTCCTGGATGCCTCCTAAAGCTGTTCCCAGCCTCCCTTCACGGCAGCACTGGGAGGCAGCTGGCAGACAGGGCTCACGTGGCCTCCCAAGAATCATAGCTGGGCCTCTCCCTGAATCCACCCACCAACTCCACTCTCCAAAGAAGCTTACACAGAGAGAGTCTAGGCCAAAGCTGGCCCAGGAACTGGGGAGTGTCGGCAATATCTGCAAGCGCCACCCCTATCCTGTCTATCCTGTTTTGGGGGCACTTTCAGGCCCCTTCGTCTCTCCAGCAGCTGACACCAGGGGAGGTTTCTGTGGGGCCGGGTTATCAAAAAGCATGCAGCATCGGGCTTTCTGCGCTCGAGTCTGAGCGCAAGGTGTGTGCTCTTTACAGCACTCGGCTGCTCCCAGGGGCTGCGGGCCTGGAGACTGGGCTCTAGACTCAGCTGTGCTACCCAGCTACGGCCTTCTGTGACAGCAGCACAGCCACCCCAGGGGGACACCTCTCAGCCTTCTTGCTTGACACTGCTGCCAAAGAGATTACCTGTTTTATTTTCTTAAGCATCACTTTCCTTTTTTTAAAGTACATGATGATGATGTTAAATGTGTTTTTTCAAACCAGACAGACAGATCCTGTCTTGATCCTAATATGTACCACCCCGCATAGGCAAAGCCCAGTGCTGCCCTTGCGGCTGACAGTTCTGCACGTCTGTGATCTCCATGAGGTCTGGAGGTCCACAAGAATGTCCAATGGTTTGCAATTGCCTCCTTTCTTCCAGCTAAGTAAGAGGAGCATCTAGTTACCTTCCCTCCACCGAAAGAATACAAATCCTTAGGTGGAGACTCTGTAATGAGAGGTGACTACTTTAGGGCTGAAAAGCTGGAGTTTTGACAGAGCCTAGGAAATGGAAGGGCAAAAAAGCATAGAATGGGGAGTGCAATTAAGCCCACCTTTAGTCTTTTCTTGGTTTTATTCCAAGGGATACCAGCAGCAGAAGGACGCTGTGGCTGTATCGTGCAGTCTTGATGTGATCTGAGCCCTCTGCCAAAGAACATCTTGTTGTTATTTCAGAATGAGAATGGAGGGTGGGTTCTTTTCTGTCACACCAGCTGTGTGACCTTGGGCTAGAATTTCATTGAGAGTTGATCTCCTGCAAAAGGAATAATACCTTACAGGGTTGTGGGAAGGAATTAATTAGATCAAGTAAGAAATGGAAGGCATTTAGCAACATGCATGGCACATACTGGAACTTCGGTAGATGTCAGCTGAGTGTGGAATCTGAAGGAAAGGCGGGGTACTTCTATGTTTTGTGCCTCTGGACACTGTTCCTTATCAGAAGAGACAGGCTTTGCTGTTCACTTCAATGGCTGTGGTAACAAATTATTTTCTGCATGGACACAGGGAGGGGAACAACATATACTGGGGCTTGTTGTGGGGGACAGGGGGAAGGAGAGCATTAGGAAAATTAGCTAATTGCATGCTGGGCTTAATACCTAGGGGATGGGTTGGTGTGTGCAGCAAACCGCCATGGCACAAGTTTACCTATGCCACAAACCTGCACATCCTGCACATGTACCCCGGAACTTTAAAATAAAATAAATTATGGGCCAGGCATGGTGGCTTGTGCCTGTAATCCCAACACTTTGGAAGACTGAGCTGGGTGGATCACCTGAAGTCAGGAGTTCAAAACCAGCCTCAGCAACATGATGAAACCCTGTCTCTACTAAAATTGCAAAAAAGAATTAGCTGGGTGTGGTGGTGAACCCCTGTAGTCCCAGCTACTCAGGAGTCTAAGGCAGGAGAATAGCTTGAACCTGGGAGGCGGAGGCTGCAGTGAGCTGAGATCGCTCCATTGCACTTAAGCCTGGGTGACAGAGTGAGACTCTGTCTCAAAAAAAATCTATATCTATATCTATATCTATATCTATATCTATATGTTCTGAGCTTTCTGATGAGTGGCCAACAAATTACATACAGCCGTACAGCCCATGGGCCAGATCTGGGCGCTTGCCTGTTTGTGTAAATCGGGTTTTGTTGGAACACAGCCATGCCCCTTTGTTTACACATCATCCACAGCTGCTTATGAGCTACAGTGGCAGGGCTAAGTAGCTGCAACAAAGAACATATTTCAGCAAAGCTGAAAACATTCACTAGTTACTATCTGCCCTTTGCAGGAAAAGTTTGTCATTTCATGCTCTCAAGGATTGCTGCAGATCTTTTTCAAGAGTCTAAAAATAAATATCTTTTAACTTAAGAACTGCTATGGACTGAATTATGCCCCCATGACCCAAATTCATATTTGGAAATGGGGCCTTTTGGAATTAATTAGGTTTCGATGAACCCATGAGGGTGGGGCCCTCATGATAGGATTAGAGCTCTTATAGGAGAGATTCCAGAGTGCTGGCTCTCTTTCCCTGTCACATGAGGACCTGGTGAGAAGGTGGCCTTCTATAAGCCAAGTAACCATGTTATCACCTTGATCTCAGACTTCTGACCTCCAGAGCTCTGAGAAAATAAATATCTGCTGCTTAAGCCACCCCATCTATGGTATTTTGTCACCATGACCCCAGTGGACTAATATAAGAACTTGAATCAGCTTGTATATCTTCAGAAAGAAATGCTGCATATATATCATGTCACCCCAGTCCACTTTTGTGGCTGTCGGCGGACATCAAACCATGTGGCAGTGTCTTCAGCAGTGAGATGCCATCATATACCTGCCCTGCTGCCATTTCCAACCCAACCAACATGTG